AAAATTGGACCCTTATATAGTTTTATTGTATAATTTTCGTTACTATAATGATTTCACTTCTATCACAAATTAATTTTGGACATGGACCAGTTAACAATTTGATTAAAATAATATCAACCGAACGAGTCTAATAAAAGAAGAGATCACCAAGTGATCATCTGTTTGCCAAAAAAAGGAAATAACAAAAATAAAAAATAAATAAGCTCCATCTAAATAGCGGGTCGGGTTCCGCTACGGGTCAAATTTTACCACCTTCAAATTTAAACTTGGTGGCAAGAAAGTACATATTCAAAATGGGGAGTGATAATGGCATAGCTTCTCATCGATGAATAGAGAAAACTAGTGGATGGCCTTTTTCCAATTCCAACCCCTTCCTGCTGTTTTCCCCCCAAAAAATTTAACTCCAGCTTATATATTTATGCATATTTTTTTATTTCACTGATTAGTTACGTATAAGTTGGGGAGCTCGGTGGTATTAAGCCTAATTGCCTAAACAAGTTAAGTTTCAATAAAAATTTAGAATACTATTTAAAGATTTGATTAGTTGAATTTTTCCAAGTGTCTAGTGTACACGGTTTTGAGATTCTCGTTGCTAACGTCGGTGGAGAAGCGAGAAAACAAATAGTTTAAGAGCTTTTTGCTTCGGTGCTCCCAAATTAGCATTTTTAAATTGAAAAAAAATTAAAACTATATAAAAAACCGGAAGGGCATTTTTGTCCAACCTATTTACTTACTTTCCTAACATCTTCCAAAACTGTTCTCAGTTTACTCCATCTTCGTTTTCTCTCTTGCTGCATCAATTCTTCGCTGTCAGGGACACCACCACAACTCAACCCAACCCCTCTCCTCCATCTGCCTTCTTCCCCACCTTCCACTCTCTCTTCCGCTCTGGAGATCTGTCTGCCATATCCTTCCTCATCGAACTAGACCGATCCTCACCTCTCCTCTGTCGTCGCCTCCTACACCTTTTCCGACATGCTTGACTGAGGCCCACCAGAAGCAAGGATGCAGGAATAGATGTTGTAAATAAACCAGTGCACCGCAAAGGTTTTTAGCTGTGTCTCAACGAAGATCCAGAAAATGTATTTTAAGCCTGACAATTTGATTTCTAATTTTTTTCATTAGTTCGTCTTTTTGTATCCCTTGAGGTTAGTATGTATGTAAACAACCCCAGCTAGGGCTCAAGTTTCCCAAAAAATTTTCAATGGGCAATATACATGTGAACAAGTGAACAACCCTAGCTTCCCAAAACGTTTCCAGTGGGCAACTGTTGGAAAAATCGAATTTATTTTTGTTCTTTATCTCCTCATCTCTTATGGAAATTTTCTTAAGATGTTTGATCATCTTTTATAAGTCTTAACCTCATCTCAGCGCGAGCGCATGTCTCAAACCTTACAAAATAGTTGTATATAGAATATTGATTAGTTGGTAAATGAAGAAGGAAGAATGGTAGAAAAGGAAATGGAGACGCATGAATTAGTTGTATAGTTGTAACTAATCACAAATTCTATTTCTCTTCTTATTTATACTTTCTAAAATAACCTTTTTATCTAAGTGAAATTACTCTTTTGGGTGTGGAACTCGTCTCAACTATCATATCCCTCAAATTTAGGATGTGAGAGAGACTTTCAAGAAAACAAATTACATTTCCTATCATCGGAACTCCCAACTTATTTTTGGGAGCACCGAAGCGGTCAGCATAGTTTAATACTAATTTACATTTGGAACCTTGAAGAGTTGCCTTATAGTCTAAATAAATAAATAAATAAATAAATAATGTAGCATTGTTATATTATCGCAACAAATAGATAAAACTGACTGTTAAGAAAACAAAACATGCTAAGGGTCTGTTTGGTTGGGTGAAAAATATCAAGAAAGCAACGTTATAGAAAACCTATTTCTACAAACTTTTCTTTTTTTGTTAGTTTGTTCCACATTTTAAAACCAAGTGAAACCAAGAGAGAGACCCTTCTATTGGTTGATTTTTTACACCAATTTGAGAAAACTCAATTTCCGAATTAGTTGTATAGTTGTAACTAATCACAAATTCTATTTCTCTTCTTATTTATACTTTCTAAAATAACCTTTTTATCTAAGTGAAATTACTCTTTTGGGTGTGGAACTCGTCTCAACTATCATATCCCTCAAATTTAGGATGTGAGAGAGACTTTCAAGAAAACAAATTACATTTCCTATCATCGGAACTCCCAACTTATTTTTGGGAGCACCGAAGCGGTCAGCATAGTTTAATACTAATTTACATTTGGAACCTTGAAGAGTTGCCTTATAGTCTAAATAAATAAATAAATAAATAAATAATGTAGCATTGTTATATTATCGCAACAAATAGATAAAACTGACTGTTAAGAAAACAAAACATGCTAAGGGTCTGTTTGGTTGGGTGAAAAATATCAAGAAAGCAACGTTATAGAAAACCTATTTCTACAAACTTTTCTTTTTTTGTTAGTTTGTTCCACATTTTAAAACCAAGTGAAACCAAGAGAGAGACCCTTCTATTGGTTGATTTTTTACACCAATTTGAGAAAACTCAATTTCCAAAATTTTTTAAAGGAAATTGCTTAAGATCTTAATAGGCTGTTACTGGTTTCTTTTTTTTTTTTTTTGGAAATAAACCAAACATCCCCTAAAATGATGGATGCTCGGGTTCCGCATCGGATATTTAAAATTATGAACATTCTGCCTCTGATTCACCCATCACCAAATATAATGTAAAAAAAGATAGATAATAAAGTGATAAAGCTTATTAAACAAAGGGGGAAAATCCTATGCCATAAAAATGTCAAGCGTAGTAGATAGATTTGTAGAGAATTGATAAATAAATAGTATATTTTAAGTCAGCTTAGTAAGAAGAATATTCTCTATCTAGAGAAGGCAAAGGGAAACTATTGTTGCGATTCCAAAGTGTAGTATATTCAAAGGAAAGCTATGAATCAATTTTTTAAAGCTCTAAATTCAAATTAATAGAACTTTATATGAATGAACATAGCCATTGCATTTTCTATAGCTCTTCGTAATGTTTGAAGAATTTTAAGTTCAAAGGTAATGGTGAAATTGCAACTCGTGAAATAGAGATTTTTTTATTTCCATCATTTAATATGTTTAGCATATAAATAGACTAATAGTTAGTTTATTGTACTATTTCCATCTTAACAAAACTTACTAGTCCTCTTAAAGCCTAGCCTTAGCTATATGCTTGAATTATTTACATCATAATGTATTTAGCATTAAGCTCCTATTTGAATTATTTTTATCGTAAACACTTCTGAAATGAAATAAGGTTAGCATCTTTTACTATTGCTTATTCTTCAGATGTATAATCTTTCTCTTTTCTTGTTTGAAGCAGATGGTCTTATCAGTTTATTTTCAAATTTCAAAATGTGAATTTATAGAAACATTACAATGCAAGTTAAAGACAAGCCTTTTCGTTTTTAAAAACTTTTAAATCATAATAGCTTAATCTTAAACGTGGAACCTTTCAATTCACATCCTATACTTTTGAGTGAGGCATTTATCAATTTGCAAGGTGCATGCATAAACCGCTTAGCTCCAAAGTGCCAAATCATAGTTTCTAAGGTTGTAAGTGAAAATATCCGCTCCTTACCACGGAGGTCCGCGAACAAAACAGAGAGATCAACGTAATGTCCAACTCCATAATGCTTTTTCACCCAACCCACGATCATATTAAGTTGCCCCACATAAAGCTACTGCCGTTACCTTTGTTTTTTTTTTTTTTGGTTTTTATATTATTTTCGTCCAAAATAAAATTTAGAAAAATATTTAAACTTATCAGATATCTACAAGACTACAATTGAATGTTAAATTGCATTACAAATTGGACTTATAGTTGAATAACCATTGCTAAGTAAGTCATGTTAAAAATAAAAATAGTTTTATTGACTTTTATAATCCATTACTAAATGATGTCATTTTATATAAATGAAAATTTTCAAATCAATTGACAATCAAATACAACACTGCTGTAATTTACGTTATCTAAACGAGTAGTAATAACTAGACTATACTTGTCAAACTGGTCCTACACTATTACTCCAAACAATACTACTCCAAACAATGCGAGGTGTATGATAACTCAAGCCAATTTTAATAGCAATTCAAGTGGAAGGATCTTAAAATTTTGTGTCTAGTAGTGTAAGAGCAGTTTAGAGAGTGTAATTCAATAATAATCATCTCATCTAAATTGTGAATTATAGATCACGTACTATGTTAGACATTCAAATATTAAAAAAAAGGATCTATGAATATCAGTAAATTATTATTTGTTTGTAATAAAAATATATAAAATCTTTTATTAGCAAGAACACTACTTGTTTTCTAGACGTTTTTCTTCAAGTTATGATAGATACAATGTTTGATATTACCCATGCCTCATCTATACTCAATTCCTACAAGCTCAGATGTCATACCCGCCACACAAGTAGAAACACAATATTTGGTTGTTTCATACATTGTTGTAGATATGAGTATAGAGAGCTTTACTCGCATCACGTTAGAAAAAAAAATCAATACCTAATCTACCAATTATTTTGTTTCCTATTTTAGTGATTTAAAATTAAATCAAATAGAAGTAAGAAATATAATTCCCAATACTGGTTTGATAGATAATTCTTAATATTTTTTGAATATAGGCTTTTCTTGGGAGAGATGGGATATGAATACAGTATGGCATATATTTATCTATAACTCATGTTTTCTTACTGAAATACACTCAAAACTAATTGATATGCAAATAAAGAAGCAAAGCCATATAAAAAATAGATTCAAAGAACACGGCTCTCGTTATTTGGCATTGCGAAGGGACAGACGAAGGTTTTATTTGAAGAGTTCTCATTTTCTCCGCTGTCTTCTGTTCCTTACCAAACACGAAAACTACGCCGGGTGCCCCCAAACCCAAACCCGTTCCCATTCCCTTCTCAAAGTTTACATAAATACCCACAATTCAAATTATTTACAGAATCACCCACCTCTCCCTACTATTAACGTTTCTCTCTCTCTCTCTCTCCCCTTCCCTTCACGCACCGCCCTCTTCTCTCTCTCTCTCACCCTCACCCTCGGCTCTCCTTCCTCAATAAATCTCCGTCCCAGTTAGGGTTTCCAAATTGCCCCGACCTCTCTCTTCCCTCTCCTCAGTCAATTGCAATCTAGGGTTAGGGTTAGGGCTTCGGATTTCCCCCAATCCAATCGATGAGGAAATCCAAGCTCGAACCGCCTTCCCTCAGCAAGAACCGATCTTTCCAGATCCTTCTAACCCTAGCTTTCATCTACCTCTTCTTCCTCCTGTCCCAGTTCCCTTCCCTCCTCTCCCGCCCCTCCTCCTCCTCCTCCGCCGCCTCCACCTCCACCGCCGGCGATCCCCTCCGCAGCGAGCAGGAGACCGACTTCAAGTTCGCGCCAAAACGCCCCTCTCATCTCGTCCACACCTCAACGCAGTCTTCTTCTTCTTCTCCGTCCCCGAAATCATCCTCTTTTCCTACTCATCGTCGAGCTCCCTTCGTCTCCGGCCTGAGATTCGGAGATTACGGAGCTGACGCAATCAAGCACAACTTCTCCGAGATTCATCGAGTTGCGAAAGAGGCGTGGGACCTCGGGCGCAAGAACTTTAGGGAACTGAACAGTCTGCCTCCGTCAGCTGCCGATAAAGTGAAAGCCAAGGAGGAAGAGTCTTGCCCGTCTCATGTAACCCTGACGGGAGCTGAGTTTGCCGCCAAGGGGAAAGTTATGGTGATCCCCTGCGGGCTGACACTTGGGTCCCACATCACTCTGGTGGCGACGCCCTACCCTGCGCACCCGGAGTACGACCCGAAGATTGCGTTGAAGGAAGGGGATCAGGCGGTGATGGTGTCACAGTTTATGATGGAGTTGCAGGGGCTTAAGACTGTGGATGGGGAGGAGCCGCCGAAGATTTTGCATTTTAATCCGAGGCTGAAGGGGGATTGGAGTGGCCGGCCGGTGATTGAGCAGAACACTTGTTATCGGATGCAGTGGCACACGGCGCTCAGGTGTGAAGGGTGGAGGTCCAGAGCTGATGAGGAGACTGGTAAGATTCTGTCAAATTTATCTAAATGTTTGTTTTCTCTGTTTAATAGGGTGGTGCCTTCATATGAACTGCGACATTGATGAAAAATAGTTTTTTTTTACCCATGGGGACTTTGGGATTTTGATAATTAATTTCATTGTCTTCTGAAAAGGGTAATTTTGGTATAAATGCGTGGAGTTTTAGCTCAGTGGATTTTTGTAGTGTAGTCAATGTTTTTACTATGAAATAATGAGCTCAAAATCTGAATTTGTTATTGGTCTTAATAGTAGTATCCCTTTCTGTATTAAAAATGTATAATTTTCCTGAGAACTTTGGGTAGTGAGAGATTAATTTCATTTTTCTTTTGAGAAAGGGTATTCTTTGATATAAGTGCATGGAGTTTTGGTGATTTAGAATGTTTTGGTAAGGATCGGGAATGTTTTAAATAATGAGTTCAAAATCTGAATTTGTTAGTGGATCTTAATAGAAATTTCCGCTTTTAAGATGACCTAATTCTCCTATCAGACATTTCAATTCTGGTTGGCAGGTAGGAAGTCTTAATTTTAATGCTTGAGACGTTTTTACATATGATGTGCTTGTGAAAAAGACCGGTTTAACTAAATCCTCAATTTTGTAATGGTCTTATTTCATTTTATTGGAAATTACAATTTTCATGTATGATTTTGTGTTCTAATTCTGTGCTCCGTATGCTCTGATTTTTTTCCCGGGTGAATGAAGGATATAACCATCTGATTCTAGTGTAATTTAGGTCTATCCTTAATGTCTGTGCATCTGTTAAATAACATCAAAATTGATCTTTTTTTTTGTGTGGTTCAAATTGACTTTACAGTGGATGGGGAAGTAAAATGTGAAAAGTGGATCCGGGATGATGATAACCATTCAGAGGAATCTAAAACAACATGGTGGTTGAACAGATTAATTGGGCGAACAAAGAAGGTCTCTTTCGATTGGCCATATCCATTTGTTGAGGGTAAACTGTTTGTTCTCACATTGTATGCTGGTCTTGAAGGCTACCATGTCCATGTAGATGGGAGGCATGTGACATCTTTCCCTTACCGTACTGTAAGTGTCTTGATAGCATCTAATGCTACTTGTGGCTATTAGTTAAGCTATATAATTTCTAGCTCTCGTTACTTATGGAGCATGGCTTATACATGTTTTTATAGGGATTTGTTCTTGAGGATGCTACTGGTTTGTCATTGCATGGGGACTTAGAAGTCCACTCGATATTTGCTGTTTCATTACCCACGTCACATCCTACTTATGCCCCGCAAAAAAGTCTTGAAATGTTGACTGAGTGGCAAACCCCAGCACTTCCAGATGGACCTATTGAGCTTTTCATTGGCATCCTTTCAGCTGGTAACCATTTCGCAGAGAGAATGGCTGTGAGGAAATCATGGATGTCTACAATTAGGAAATCATCGAATATGGTGGCTCGCTTTTTTGTTGCTCTGGTAATTTTCTGATCTCTCATGCAGTATAATTGGGTATTATGTAAGTTGGTGTGGGGATTTCGACTAATAGTGATCTTTCACGACAGCATGGGAGAAAAGAAGTGAATGTGGAGTTAAAGAAAGAGGCAGAGTTTTTTGGTGACATTGTGATCGTGCCTTATATGGATAGCTATGACCTTGTTGTCTTGAAGACCCTCGCGATATTGGAATATGGCGTAAGTGAGATATTGATGAATGATCGCTTATATTTTCTTGTTTATTTATATCTTTGAGGAAGAGTTAAAATTTGAAAATAGTCAATCTATTTGCTTAGACTGGGTTGGAGTTTCAAAATAGTTGATTGAGTTCTGATTTCTGTTGTTTTTCTTTTCAACTTGTATTGATAATGCAGGTCCGTACTGTCTCAGCAAAGTATATAATGAAGTGTGATGATGACACATTTGTTAGGATTGATTCAGTGATGAAAGAAGTCAATAAAATTCCAAAGGGTGCAAGCTTATACGTGGGGAATATAAACTTTTACCACAAGCCTTTGCGCTCTGGGAAATGGGCTGTGACATATGAGGTATCTTTTGTTTTTATCAAATAGCTTGTTTATCTTTAGACTTGTATATCGGATCTATTGTTCCCTGTAGAATTTTTTTGACATCTGAAGAATTACATAGATATGCATGAATTGCAAATTGGCAAGCACTGGGATCTCATTTTAGTGCTGGTTCCATTTTTTTAGAATCTTCTAGGGCGTGTTATGATGTTAATGGACACAATGATATGAGCATGAAAATAAAAGAGAATTTTTTTAGTATGTCTACTGTGATCAACTTCTTAGGTGGTAAAAGATTCTCTTGAGGCAATCTTCTGCAATATTTTCTTTTACTGCTATCTCTTTTAAACAGCATAAGTTCTAACTGTTACCAACGGGATCCCCATAAGCGGAACATTTTTGCAGTTGCTTGGCTGTTGCAAGCATCTAATTTTCTATCGAAAGACAACTTTTGTGTAACAATGTTTGCATCTGCTTCGCTTTCTAGCATATCATCCCAGGGCAAGCAAGCTGCAATATCATAGGTCCTAACCCACTTGTTTTGAATAGCATGATCGCTTCCTGCAGAGGTTCTTGTAATGTTGTATAGGTGGCTGCGTCATTGTACCCACTGCCATTCAATTTTTCTAGTCCTTTATTCCTTGGTAGTTGGCAGAGACTTGGTAATGACAAAGGTTTTCGCTGGAAAAGATGTCTGTGATGCGGTCACTATATTTTCAATCATGCATATCAAGCCTCAGGATGCATTTAGGTGCTAACTATGTAATTGGGAGATGAACGTGTTCTACAATGAGTAAGTTAAAGAATTAAGAGCTTGGACCAAGCTGCAGGAGGCAAAGCTGTCAGCTACTGACCAACTGAAGACTCTTTTTAGTATTGTTTATCTAGGTTGAGGGCACAACTGGTGAACCATCAGAACTTAGGAACATGCAAAAATCAGTGCTTTATACGAACCATTCCTTTAGATAAATTATTGTCTTCTCTCTATCATTTAGATATACATACTGTATTTACTTCCAATTACTGACTGAATATCTGTTTTAACTTTTCATTTCAGGAATGGCCGGAAGAGGACTATCCACATTATGCAAATGGACCTGGATATGTTGTGTCAGCTGACATTGCCCATTTTATTGTGGCAGAATTCGAGAATCACACATTAAGAGTAAGTTTATTGAACTTGTATACCTTGCATTAACTATTCACACTCTGTCTTGCCTGAGAATTGCTGAAAAATTATGATTCATTTGTCATCCCTGGATAATCTCTGACGTCTACTCGTCCTCGACTTATAGCTTCCCATTAGGGATGCCCTTTACCTATTGTATATCTGCTTTTGCTAGTGGAACAGGCTTTACAATATCTTTATGATGCCTTTATGTCCACCACTTTCTTTGTGTACTCTGACATTTGTGATAGGAAAAAAAGAAAAGTAACTTACAAGTGTGCAAACATGATGCAGCTATTCAAGATGGAGGATGTGAGCATGGGCATGTGGGTCGAGCAATTCAACAACACAAGACCTGTTGAATACGTCCATAGCTTGAGATTTTGCCAGCACGGGTGCATAGAAGACTACCTTACTGCTCATTATCAGTCTCCAAGGCAAATGATATGCATGTGGGAGAAGTTACAGGAGGGAAAGCCTCAGTGCTGCAACGATAGATGACACCACACGGGCAATCAATCGAGAGTTTTATCAGAGAAGAATTTTGCTGTTCGCCTGACATTTGATGAGAGGAAAATGAGGCTGGCTCACCCAGATTCATTCATTGTTTATTTTCTTTTTTTCTTTTGTCTTTTGGTGAGAGGCTGGTGGGTTGAAGGGTACAGCTCTTATGAGGCTGTTTTTGTACATTTTAACAGGCGAAAAAAGAGAGAAGTAGTTTATGTTATGTATTGTAGGGTCTGTGAAGAGGACCATCAGATGATAGTATAGTTTTTTACCCCCCCTTGTTTTTTCCCTTGACTCCTGGTGACGAACATTTTAATTTACAACTTTGTAAATTTTCTGCTTAAATGGCATTCCATACTTGAGATCTTGCGGCTCTTTATTTGTCTTTCACCATACTCTTCATATTGACTCTTAAATGTTGATAAGAGAAATATGACATTGTGGAGTGTAAGAGCGAAATTCTTATTTTCTTTGTCTTGGTCACGAAACTTTAGGTGTTCTTATATAATTGCGTAACATATGAATCCTTGATTTTCTAAATGGAATGTTGAAGAAGTCCGCATCCCTTGTTCTGTCTTTGGATCCTAGTTGGTGGACCCGGGAATTCTTTGAAACCTTCAAATTCCTTCTGGTGGGCATCGGTCTCTTTCAAAGTGAAAGGATGATGGCTGGAAGTGGAAGCTCTCCCCCATATGCGAGGACCACAATTTTGAACTTCTCATGGGAACACCATGGGCCACAAATCAACTTTTTAACTTGGACAATTTTAGCCAGCATATTTTATGAAAATAATTTTTTCCCCCTTCTAATATTCAGTGTTTGGTTAAAAGAGTTCTCTCTAGGTAATTGAGACTCATAATACCTTAACAGAGCTTTCTTTTAAGAGAGAAAGTATCAAGTGGATTCAAATCCATGACATTAAGTGTGCACTAAAGAGATGTTAATTCATGAATCATTAGACTTTCGTACTTAGAGAAAATACCAAATGATCTCGAATACATGACATTAATTGTGCACCACACGGATGTCAATTTTTGGATTATCAGACTTCGAGATTCATGTACGGATCTAATGTCTAACATCTTTTTCGCGTACATTTAATGCATTGGACTAGATCCATTGTATACTTTCTTCTCGTGTCAGGTTCAATGATTGTCATCATTTTGATGCACATTTAATGTCATGATCCATAATCATTGAATAAATCATCTCATGAACGCAATCAAAATACATTTACTCTCATGACAATCAAAATAGATTTCCTCTCATGACCATCATGGAATATTTTGTACAGTTACTATGTATATTTCACTAGAGACTTTCTTATTGTAGAAATCTTATTATCTTTGTTGCATGCATCATTTATTATGACAAATTAGGATTAATTGTAATCCTAATTTGATACGACATTTTATAGCAGCAAAGATTACACAGTTGAGATGAACGGGTTTAGAATAGATCCTCTTCACTACTAAAAAAATGTAGTGGAGCGATCCTTAATCATAATTATTAATTATCTAGCGGATGATTATGAATTTTTCATTAAGTGCAAATTAAAAATGAGTACAATACACATGGATATAGTGAGTGTTAGATTTAAAATGTGTCACAATCACCTACTAAATAATCAACCGCTAGAAATAAAAATAGCAGTCTCTCCATTATTTTCTTGCGGTAGAGTGAAACCAAATTGCAGATGAATTGGATTATAGAGAGTATCATCCTCTCCGGATAACATGAACCATAACCAAACGGAATAATTATCAGCATAAAAATCTAAATATTTGTTTTTATCTTCCAGCATGTGCAGGGATTCTGTAAATGAGGAGATTCTGTTCCTTGTCCCCTTTTGGTTTGACATCCAAATTTTGCTCTGAGCCCACATGCTTTTTATTGGCCCTCAACCTACTTTTTGATTCCCTTTTAAGGAATTTTCCTTACAAAATATTTACTTTTTTTAGAAAGCTTACAAAATATTAATATTGTAATTTTACAAGTTATCCCGTGAGGACCCACTTGAAGCGTGCATCTGATTTCAAAACTATTCATCACTTTTCATATGATGTGTATGCAGTGTGCTCTATTTTATTGGATGTGATTGCCAAAGGACTCGCCATTTTGTAGCATGTGCCTGCAACAATTTTGTTTTTGCACTCTGTGCGAGTTCTCTAATTCCTCGAGAGAAATCCTCGATACCAACTATACATATCCATCAGTTCAGTTGTATCTATATTTCTAGTTGAGTAGGGAATATGTAATAAATTACATCTTTCTTTTCTGAATATAAAATATGTTTCTTCTGCCCTCTATGTGTACGGATTAAATTCCTCCTCTTTTGCAAATTGTATCATTCTTAAACTTCATCAAAATTCTCATGAGCTTATTGACTTGTTTCTATTTTCTGTAGATCACATGACATAGCCTAAATAGTAAAGAAGAGTCCCCAAGACCACCTTTAAAATAGGATTATTCTTTAGAGTTTATTTTTTTGTTAATTTATACGTAAACTATCTTTAAACGGTTTTTGTTGCAATCAACTACCCGGACTCACTTTTAAATGTTGTTGATTTTCTAAGAAATATATTTTGGAGTTATGCATAAAAATATTTTCTTTAATCAATCTAATTAGAATTAGTTCATACTTGAATATATTTTTATTCATAACTCTAAAATAAATTTCATAGAAATCTTTTCATTATAGTTATACAAAATTAAGTCAAACTTAGAAATTTATCTGAAATTCTGAAAGGAACATATTAACTGTTTATTTCAAACAATTATCAAGCCTCTTGATCAATATATTTTCGAAGAATATGTATGTCTATTTCAAACAATTATCAAGCCTCTTGATCAATATATTTTCAAACAATTATCAGACTTCGAGACTTTTGAGTATTGTGAGAGTGAGATATTGTGAGCAAGTTGAGAGCTTTGGTTGAGGGTTAGTTTGTGAGTTTTGTGAGATTGTAACCCTTTGTACTCTCTTTGATTTAGTGGAACCTCCTTATCCTTTCCCCGTGGACGTAGGCAATTTGCCGAACCATGTAAAATTGATTGTCTCGTTATTTGTGTGATTTGTAATAGCTTTTAGGTTCCCTCGACAGGTCAGTCCTAGAACTGATGAGAGGAAGAGCTGATATCTCACTTGGTTGAGATATTTTGCTTAAGGTTCTTGTTTCCTTTGTGAAACAGGATTTCCTATTGCGACCTGACTCTCTTGTTGTGCTGTCAAAGTGCTGCCAAAATTTCCGCTGCACGCAACAGTTTTATTTTTGGCAAAAACACCATGAAAACAAGTAAAACCCCATGGTATCAAAACAAAGCCTAACTAAATGTTAGAAATACACGTATAGCCACAAAGTTGATCATTTAGCTAAACATTAGAAATATTAAGGGTATGTGTATGAAGATTGAACACAAATTTTTATTTTCTACGAACACATCCTGCAACTCTTTCGGCAAAAACCTGGGAAGGTTTTGGAGCCTACCATATAAAGAGGATTTTTTTGGCATTCACCTGCAGCTGCCCATTGAGGGCATAACAAATTCTCATCAGCACATTCTCCATTGCCAACGCGGGTTGGACGTGTATAGGATCCAACGTGGATCCACTTTGTTGCGGACCATTTTTCGCCAACTATCACTGGGCAGCTTCCGTGCAAACTTAATGGATCTGTTGTCGCATTAATATGAAGACTAAAGAATAGTAACGCGTCGCCCTTGTCAGGTTTCACTAGAAAAACATTGATGGTAACAAGATCAGCTTCAGCAAACAAGACAGATATTCTAATCACAGCTCAGAAATACTAAGATCACGAGGAGTTTTAGGAAAGGCATCACATATATTTTCTTGATATTGTGTTATCTTTTATTTCTAAAATGGTAAAAGGGGGGCAATATGAGGTATCTACTTCGTTAAAAAAGAAGAAGAGAACGTAAAGGATCAAGAAAAAGAAGGCACTGCAGGCCCCAAGATGCTTGAGTCAATAATAGCTAAGGTTTGAGATTAAAAAAAAAACATGATATTGATCTTCCATGAAATTGGTGTTGTGTTTAATGGATGAGATAACACCAAGCCGACTGTGGTACATTGCTGGAGTTAGGATAGATTGCACCTGTAGTGTTATTATGAAGAAAGGATAATTGGAAAGGCAAAACGCAATCACTTTACCATAAATTATCAAGTTAAAAATCTTATGAAGGACATCAAGAACTACCCTAAGACAAAATCAAAGTAATGAGGACCTAATGTTGTAAAAGTAAAAAAAATGGATGTAGCAGTTATAATTCAAAATTCAGTTCCATCTGGTTTTGGGGCATCATTTTAAATGGAGATAAAACTTGGTATCTAATTTTCTACTGATTTTACCTGCATATCCCTTTTTTGCGCAGTCTGACCAAGATTCATTTTTCTGTTGCGTAAGTGCCCCCTGGACAATGAAGCTTATAAGCTAAATATAATCATAAATGCGTAGGCATCTGAAAAGGAAAATAGTGGAACATGGATAATGTTATATGAATTATACCTCTGCAATTGGAAAAACAGTCTCCCCACCCTTCTCAACATTTGATAGGTACATAAGTACTGTAGCGAATCGATGACCTCCACGTGCAATATTAACTTTGTCAACAAAATAATCGAAATGGGGCTCATACTTTTGACCAATCTCGTATCGTAGGACTTGGATGGCTTCACCATTTTCTAATTAATAAAAGAAATTTCAGAAAAAATTCCTTTGTTTTCCTTAGAGTGGGTAAATTTGAGACCTTGTGAAACACTAAAAGAAGGTTTCTAGTATCTACAAAAGAATTGACGGAGTTACCTTCTGGAAGAAAGGTCCAAGATGCAATTCTTTGCTCAATTCTTGTGACAATTTCATCCTTCAGGCAAGAAATATGCATTTTGTCAAATTTTTGGCGTTCACGTTTGACACTACACTATACTGGATATTGTAAGAAAACAACCGCTAATACTATAAAGGGACTGCATTAAGAGGGGACATGAACAATATCTTGAAAGATTTTACCTACACGTAAGACATAATATATCTACTGTAAAAACATCAATAGGTTGTAAAAATTGTTTCTTTTGCCTTTCTAGGACGTCAATTAAACCTTAAGATAAATAGGAAAAATAGTTATACCATGCTAAAAGAGACTCTTCACTAACTCAGATCTTTCCTGGGGTTTCTAAATGTCAAATTATTAAATTCATATAGGTTGTGAAAACTATTGATTATAGTTACTACTACTTATAAGAAAAATAGAACATAAGCCTGATAATCCAACTTTTACATGGCTTCAACAAGTGTTCTCTCCATTCACCGGATGGAATCTACTTCTAAACTAGCACATCATAAAATAGCTTTAGCTATGGCGCAGAGGCAGGGACCTTTAAGATGACGCCCAAATAATCCATGTTCAAATCCTACTAGCCTCAGACTACAGAGCTGATTTTAAAAATAAATAAATAAATACCGCGCTATGTGAGTCCATATATCGGGCTATGAAAAGGGTGCTCACCATAGGGAGACATACTAGCGTATAAAACAATAATCCTCAGTCTTCACCTAGCGGTATAAAATAAATTCCAGTATGTGAGTCCATGGTTAGGGCCATGAAAATGGGGGTCAGCCTGCAGCTGCAGGTGCATGTTAGAATATAAAACAATAATCCTCAGTCCTTCGGAGTTTTTGTGTACTCGCAGGACCGTTAAGAAGCTTCATACAGAATCTTGTCAATATCAATTATTAACCATGGTTCAATCGAGCAACAACAACAGCAACACACCAAAACCACCCCATAAACTAATTTCCAGATCGTATTACGAAACCAAAAAAAATCTCTTCCAGAGGATTTCTTATGTTCAAGTTTAGCGCCATAAGCAAATAAAAGTTCGAGAAAAATCCAGACTTAAGCATTCAATTCATCACCGTCAGTATCAGCAAAAGCCCATAAACAAACGATAACCAACACAGAGCGCTCGTCAATTACCTGATGTGTGCTAAGAAACATTCCAGAGCTCGTCCTGACCTCACCATCACACTCTTTCCAGATCACAGTCGATTTCTCTAGCTTATCTCTGGCCTAAATTCACCAATACAATCAAATGAGTCCTCAAAATAACAAATTTCATAAGAAACTTGATCCTAATTACCAGTGAAATGAGATGGTCACACTCTTCATGAGAGAGAAAGCCCTTGTACAGAAAAGCCCTGCAGCAGAAAATCAAAACCCATGAACCAAAAAAAGAAGGGAAATCAAGAGAGTGAGAAATGGCAGTAACCTTGGTCTCCATGAGAGTTGGGTGACTCGAGTTGGGTCGAAGGAGCGGACATGGGTGGTGAAGATGAAGCAGAAGAGGAAGGAGAGGGAGAGGGGAGAGATCAAACCCATTTTGATATCGATTTCGATTTCTTGAAGGAGAGAGAGGATTAAGCATTGCGGTTTTCCTTGTGAATCTTTGTAATAAATGCATAATAACAATGCGTGCTAGAGATCTTTCCTTGTTTTCTCTTCCAGAGGCGCCCACGGGAATCTGCTATTGGATTCTGAAGGAAATATACTGAAGATTTTGACTCTTTTGTTTCCTTTTCGAGCGTCGCGGCTTTGGAAATTTTTGTTTCTTTGTTTGTTCTGTGAGCTTGGGCCTATATTTGGGCTACAAGCCTGAAATGGTAATTTATATTGGATTTGTATTTGTTTGACAAAGTTGCGAACAGGCCCAAAGTATATTGAGGGATATTCATGACTCGCCGTCAGGTGTCCGTTGGAAAAAATAGTCAATTAAATGAATCCATTGAGAAGACCATACTAATTGTTTTTTAATCATTGTTTCGTACGGAATGGTCTAGAAATGAAGAGAAAAATGTTAGTTTGATATGGAATATTCTAAAGAAAAAAGAAAGAGAAAAAAAAAGAAAGCGAAAAATATTTTGTTAAATTACTATTTGCCCTCCAAAATATAGTAGAAATGAGAACACATTCTCCAATCATACATTTTTTTACTGCATCCACTAATATTTTTATATAGTACTATAGACTTTGCGTGCAAGTTGACAAGTGAAATATGGAAAAAAAAAGATCCCTCCGATTCTTAAACTTGTTCCATGCATACACAAAATTTGATAAAAAAATCCCTTGAACATCTTTTTCAATTGGGGCATGTTTTGTTCACTTGTACTAAAACGCGTGAAATGTACTGTAGCGTGGAAATGTTTCATCCAGCTAAGCCTGACAGCTATAGTAAAATTAGTCCAAAACACTTCATTTTGGTGAGAAATGGTCACATACTGCCACCTAGGTTTTTTCACTTCCATGTTAGCCTCTAAACTGCACAACCTAACAGAATAAGCACGTGACGGCTACACTGCATTTCGCGCAAAAACATCACAACCAAACAGACCCTTGGTATACCAAACAAATCCATCTGGTGAATCTTGATAACATAGGCTTATTTTAATCACAATTGATCAGCGAAATCCTCTGCATCGTCGTAGTTTAGTACTATTGTCAATTGCTCAAACAGGCAGGCTTATGGTTCTACAATCAGATTGTAGATTTTAGGTAATTCCGGTACTGACATTTCGTTAATTATTTATAATATCGTTATTGTTGTTGTTGTCTTATGAAAAAGGTCGGGGAATTAGATTTTTTATCACGGTATTTTTTACACAACTGAACGTTCATATCTATGTTTTAATTGCTTAGATGACCGATCATCTAATTAAATGCTAATGGATCTGCTAATCACTTCTAATTTTGTTCCATCGATTGATATAATTTATTTCGCTTATGTGATATAAAAAGTTATTGATCATTTGATATAATGGATTCTGTCTATGGGTAACATCCTGATCACTTCTGAAAAGTGCAAATTTGTGACATATTAGTCAACTTGTATTTGATAATTATATTGCAATTGACATAATGCTTAAAAATAAACGGAAATTTACAACTTAAAGAATTAGGTAGTCCAATTGGTATTTAACTTCACGACCGGTCATCCAATCCATTAATATATATGTATGAATTTTTCAATTATGAGATAAATACAGTGACTAATGATCCAATTAACCACGAAAAGGTCCTATTAGACTCACCGGCCATGATGGCATGGGCACTATTGTGGGTAGTGATGAATAAGTTGAGATTATTATTATGTTTAGAGAAACCAGAAAATAGCGTGTGCCCACTTGCCCGATGGAAAATGCGACACCAATCTCGAAAACCCTCAATTTGATGTCTGTCTCAATTTTGATTTTAGAATAACACCAACAATATTTGTTGGGATTGTGTCTTTGATTCTTTATATAACTTCATGAGAATTAGATAGGGTTAGAGATCTATCATGATTAGAAGATTGAGTCTTATCATAATTAGGAGTTTGAATTTTATTCTAATTAAAAAGTTAGGCTAGATATATGGTTTTGGTTTCCCTATATATATTCTTATATTGTTAGAGGAAAAAACCAAGCAGATGAGAGAGAGCCAATATTCTTGTAATCTAGGGTTAACAGATGACGTAACCTGATTCAAGAATATTGTGCGAGGGGAGAGGGTTTCGTAGTCTTTGTCCGTGCAAAATATTACATCATTGAGTGAGAGTTACACAGTTTTTGTCCGTTCAAAAGATTGTAAGGAGAGGGCTTTGGAAAGAATATGAGAGTTGATTATGTATGTGAGATTGAGAGATTCAGAGACAAGAGTTGAGTGGTTCATCTTTTAGTTCTCCCTAATACATATTTGATTTCTCGTATTGTTGCCTTGTGGACGTAGGTCGAAGTTGATCGACCGAACCACGCAAATATTGGTGTTATTTTTTCTTGATTGTGGTTATTATCTATCTTGTTGATTGTAGGTTTGCTTCCGAGTTGCACATATTATAGTAGACGGAAATAGTAAAATTCCCCAACAATTATAATTAAACGTTTGCAGTACAATGTCCTGAACCTGTTTGCGTTAATGCCGGAGTGAGCGACGTAGCAGTGGACCTGCAGGTGACTCCATGAAAATCTTTGTAAATTGATTTAGCAAAACAAATTCATGTAATTCTGTATGAAATGGCTCATATTTTTCGCAGTTATTGTAGCTTGATCTTTGAGAACTTTGCGTCACGATGGAGTTGATCGTCATTCGTCAATCTCTCAGACAGTCTGATTGTCCTAGTTGATTTGACTTTCAGACTGTAGATTTCAGGTAATTCTACCACCTGCATCTCTTTATTATTGTTTGGCAAACGTCAAAATTTGGACTGAAATCTACAATTTTCTTATATTTAATCTCAATCCTTTATAATTTGTACACGGACTCGTGAGCTAGATTGGCATAGTCACTGTGGTTTGCATTGATGAATAAATTGAGATGATCATATTTCTTATAGAATATGCAGAAACAAATTTCTCTTAACTAGGAAAAAGAAGGCATGTTTTCTCTTGACTTAACTCACTATTGCTTTTTGGCATACATAAAAGTAGTATGTTTCTTTTGGGGTCATTGCACGTTAGTCCCTTCTGTCATCCTTAATTGCCAAATTGTCCATCAAAATCTCAGGATTTGCCTATTAGCCCTCAAATCTTCAGTTTTCTTGAAAATTCATCCCTTTGTTAGGAATTCTATTATTTTCTCTAACTCTAGTTGGGTTAAGCCTTAACCCAATATCTAAAATTACCCAAACAACCCCTGCATTTTCCACTTGAGGTTTTCTCGAACTCTGGTTGAGAATATTACTATTGGAAAAAGCTTTGGACTGGATTTGGGGGAACTCCTGACTGTTGGGGAAGAAAGACTCGATGGTTTTGAGTTTTAGTTCAAGCAGGTTTAAACCTGTTATGAAATGGGTTGGTAAGATTTTAAATGATGAGATTAATTATGGGTGGACCATATAACGAGAAAATAATCTAATTCCGTTAAAGCTAACAGAAGTTTACTCTTATAAAAAAAACATCACTAACAAGAGGAGTGAATTTGCAAGGAAATTGAAGATTTGAGGGACTTAGAAGCAAATACTGAGGATTGAGGGACTATTTGGCAATTAAGAATGATATAAGGGACTAATATGCAATTACCCCCTTTTTCTTTACAAAATGTTTATGTTTTTCAATGAATTTGATTTTAATATGACCTGATTTTGAATGACCCTTATTCTGCAAAGGAAAGCACTTGGTAGAAAAATTAGGTGAAGATTGACCCGGTAGCAAGATACCATGATTCATTCTTTTTCCTATATATGCTGGTAGTTATCGAGCGTCTTTAGTCCCAGATTACATTCTGGAATTTTGGTTGCTTGTAGATGATTGCATTGAGCTGTCCCCCTTCCCTTGTAGATGATACACCAACTTTCTTTCTTGATGTGATTTTTTATTTTTCTTGAGAAAAACAATGAGACATAAGCCCTACAATATTTCATTGAAAAGAAAAAGTGAAACACATTCTCCATAATTTGAAAATATACATGAAACTTCACGTATAACGTGGCCCTTCAAAAGAAATAAAAAAGACAAATAAGGACGCGTTATTTTTTGTCCATACTAGCAACAGAACATATCCTATGTTGCAGGTGCACCATGTTTAATATATAATATACCATAGTTTACATTTCTTGATATGGTAACTGAAGGGAATGAGATTCTGAGTTTTGCATCCTCAAATGACCTCGAGGCAATCAAATTCATAACCTCTTTTGTTTTTCTCTTCGTACACTTATAAATAATAATAACAATGAAATGTTACTTAAGGCTCACAAGTAGAAATCTGAAGCTCTAATGAAGAGGTGAAAACAGGCCATATTTGAAGTTCAGGTTTATAGCAAGCATTGGCGAAAAACGGCCATTTGAGTAATTTTTATGCTGTGAATGCTGTTAAGCGTTAGAACTTCGTACCATCGAATCTTTTGAACAATATGTTTATCTCCTTATTGCGCATTTACTTCAAAGAACCGAATCATCCTAACTTCAGCAAACCACGGTCAAAGCTAAAAGTTCACAGCTGCCAAATATGTTAAACTAGATGAAATCATTTGATTACTCCAAACACATTTAAATTACTTAGTTTCAAACTTTTCAGTCATAGGGAACATTTTTTTAGTTTGAAAGACCATTAGTTTTTAATGCCCTCTGCATGAAAGTGACAAGTGAAGACATAAAATGAACAAAGTTGATGATCATTTGCTGAAAATGTTGAGGAAAGGTTCAACATTTGAAACAAGTAGTACACTGTAATGAAAGAAACTGAGTATAACTTACAAAAATTAAAGCGCAAACTTTGAAAGGGGTAAAATTCCATTACCAAAAGGATAAGTGATACCCTCCTTGATTTAGATAAAGTAACCTACTGATCAAACACAAAAAACAAATGGTTGCATGAGAAAATTCCCAAAGGCCAAAGCAAAGGAATTTAGGCTGCTGGCTAGTGGGTCCATCCTGTTCCTAAAGCATGGAGGCCTCAAATGACCACTCACGTTCAGGGCTCTCTTTCTTTTGTTCTCCTACAAAAGTGCAACAAGAATCCCTTCCAACTCTAAAAAAGTAAAAGGAAGCAAAACAACCAACTCAAAAAACCAAAGTTTTAAAAAACAATATATATATATATATATAGAGCATATAACACACAAAAACACATTCCCCATTACTTCATTCCCTCATTTATTCTTTCTTGCTCTCTTTCTTCACCTCTCATTCCCTCTACCTAGCTACATTCTACAATGACCCTCTCACCTCCACATTCTTCTCACTTAACAAGCCATTACTAGCATTGTCAAGGAGAGGGGAAGAGAGTAAGAGAGGGTAGAGGAAAAAACAGAAGAAGAGGAAGAAGAAATAGGGAGGAAGAAAAAGACATGGGAAGTTCAAGTAGGTCCACTAGGAGAATTTTTGGTGCAATTGCTTGCTTCCTCTGTATTGGCCTTTTGGTGTCTGTGGCTTTAGAAGGCAGTAAGGGAACAAACGCAACACTTCCTCTGAGTTCTAGGGGAATGTCAGCGACGACGGTGAGGTCCAATTCTCAGATGAAAATGGATCCTCTCAGTGCTACCAAGAGGAGAGTGCCAAATGGGCCTGATCCTATCCACAACAGGTACTTGATTGCTCTGTCATCAGATTTTGCTCTTCACCTCTTCATTAGTAAGTAGCTATTAGTATTTTGCCAAGTGTTCTTCATCGCGCAATATGAATTTTGATTTAGTTGTCATGGCTTACAAATTTTTCATGTAGCCTCATACTATCTTCTTGCATTTTTCTTCTTTTGTCCACCTGTTAGTTGTAGCTGGGTTGTTTTAATCCTCACTCTTCTCTGTTTAAAAAACTCTTTTGTTATAAGTGGAAACAGATTATAGTTGCTAACTAAAATTTAATTTCCCCATGAAAGATATACTAGTATATTAGATAGTAGATAAAGTGACATGGAAACCATGAATAGTTGTTTTTTCACATTCCCATGCGTTTTTGGATAGACATGTGCAAGATTTGCTTGATTAATTGCCAGAGGGGCTTACTTTGGAGGCTTCATGGGCCCAAATCACAAATCTCACAGTACACTTATAGCTTTGATGTTACCCCCTGTTCAAAAATTAAAAGAAGGGAAAAGAAAAGAAAAGAAAAGAGGGTCTCTCTTCACTTTAGTCACTCCCTCCCACACCACATAATCATGCTTATCTTCCCAAGAAACTTACACTCATCATAACTTACTCAAATTTGATTAAAGAATCAAACAAAACGTTAACATAGTAACGTGTATCAAGATTTAGTGTGGGACCCCACATCTACTTATAGCTTAATCAAAGTTACTAATGCATGGTTTAGTGAATGACATTCACCTGAATTTGAGCATTGCATGATGAAATGTTGCGAGAATTGCTTCACAATCTGACCAGAATTGGATGAAATTTTGTATTGCAGAAGAGCAGGCAAGGCTGGGCGGCCGCCGGGGAGGGCGTAGAGGGAGGGAGGGAGGGCGGGCGACGGTGAAGTTTCTTGATGAATTAGGGGGTGGGGGTGGGGGGACGTCTCATCTTGGATGTAGCAAATGAGTTGGGAAAATCTTTAAACACTCCTAAATTTAGCCAAAAATATCATTGCTTTGCCAAAGTGCATACGCACTGCTTTATGTGTTGTTGGTTGTGTTTGGGGGTGTGTAAAGAAGACAATTAGCTTCCCTTACACAAAAAAAAAATACACATTCAAGATTCTTGACAAAGATGGTCATAAGCTTTTGCGGTCACTTTAGTGATCTCCTTCCTTTATTTTTGAGTGTGCATGAGATACACAGAGAGAGAGAGAGAGAGGGAGAGAGAGAGAAAGAGAGAGAGAGAAATGAGATGATGATGATGATGATGATGATGAGTTGATGAAGAGTAATGATATGTTTGTTAGCATGTAAAGAGAAAGATATCCAAAGAATCATTTTGATATGTACTATAGAAGAGGTAGAAGTGCGTGGAACAAAGACCAAGAAATGTTCTAGTAGGCATAAAATCATGCATGTAAGGTTTGCTTTGATTCTTTCAGTCCATCTCTCTCACTCTTGGTTTTGGCTTCTTTTGTGTGGTTTGGCTCCTAGAGATCCTTGTAAGTAAAGCAATTCCACTGATTAAAGAGCCCTTAGATTTAATTGTATTTTAATCTCACTACCTTTATCTTTTCTCCTTTCTTGTCTCCCTCTATATCTCTTACTCACTTTGAGAGTACTGTTTTGGATTTATATTGTAGAATGGGACTGACCAGTGTCAGTGCTATTCAAACTTACTCATATTTGCATGGAGATTCTTCTAATCTCATAAACTACTGCAGGGAATAAGGCAAGGAAAAAAAGAAAAGAGTAAAAAAGCCAAAGTGGCATAGGCCTTGGCTTCTTCCAATTGCTTTATCTTTTTTTTCCCCCTTTACCTCTCTTTTTGATTCTTTTCTTGCTATATATTTTGATGGGATCGAGGAGCAAAGACTTGGTCTTAAAGCATCTGAGACTCTAACTAGGTTGTTTCCAGCAATCAGTTTCAGTCCTTTTTTGTGTATGTCACTATCTTTAACCTTGGAGCGTGTAAGAGAAAATGCCCACACTAATGTTTTCTCAATGTATCTGCTACACTTCAATTTACAGGTGACCTCATAACCTGACCTGGTACAATATTGTGTGGATCTTCAAGGTGGAAGTTTTCAGGGAAAACTATGTTTTAGATCCAACTTTCCTCCAACGTCCAGTAATATAACAATTATCTATGTTAGATTAGAGTAAATGAGGGATGATGTGTCGCTCTATGCTCTTGACCAATGTATTGTCAATAACATACAACCGGAAAATCAATTATGATCTACATATGTTAAAAGAACTAGACTCTGGCGCTCTACGCGCGTGTCAAGTCTGGGACACTAGTTAAGATCATACGTGGATACATCAATTCTCGTTTACTTAGCACATTATGAATCACTAAATAAATTTGTTAGCACATTATGCATCACTAGATAAATTTGATCAATAGAAGTTGTACATGCTCTTGCATGTTCCATTAATAAAACTAGATTATCAGATGGTTTATCCGTATCAATGTTAGTTTCTTGAAAAAGTCAGACATATTAAATACAGAAACATAACTAATGTAGATTTTATAAGGGAGCATGATAAAATTCCATATCCTAAATTTAGGATCCCTGACTCTATAGTTGTGACTTGTAATTTCAAAATAAACATGCACCGACTGCACATTGTTAGTTTGTTACAAATAATGCATTCGGATTCACTTGCACTGAATATCAATTTCTACTTAGTACAACCTGTTCATTTAGTAAATTACGCTATTTTCACACTTCCCGGGAGAGATCTGAGGACTAGTGTTCACTTGCCTCCTTCTTTACTCAGAACTGCAATAGAATTTTTTGACTGCTTCATTTTTTTTTTTTTTTTGTTGAAATGCACCATCATAGCTCCTTCGACTGCTAAGTGAACAAGAAAAGCGAAGAGTTAGATTTGTTTAAGATGTTCACCTTCAAGCGGAGGATAACATTTTTTGGGGGAAAAAGGGTCATCAGCATATGCATTTCTACATTATGTGGAATTAACTAACTATCATGCGTGTTCTATTTTATTAGCCTATATAATCATGACTAGTTAATTAACACCGTCAAAACTATGTTAGTTAGACTTATTAGAGCTACCACGTGCAAGACATGTGATAGGATCTTCCTTCTTCACCGTCAGGGGATCTACTTTCAGTACTTAAAAAACATAGCCAGATCTACGTGAAATGAATTCTCAAAATTTTTGAGGGAAAAAATGCTCTTTTTTTGTTATTTCTATTAGCAAAATCAAGTATTTTTCAACCATCTTCTGAGAACAAAGAATTAATAGGTCATATGCACGTTCAGTAGGGGTGTTAAGAACTATCTGCACCCGTAAATATATCTATATCCGTATACGGATATAGTTAGTAAATATCAATATCTAATAAGATATGGTTGCATATAATAATACGTAGCAAACATCAGAATATATGTTGGTCATATAGTTGTAATTGTTTTATAGATTAATGAATTTGATGTGAATTTTGATTATAAAGAGACATAATCCTAACTTTTTAGATGCAATGAACATATTAATGAACTCTACTGAATCATGTGAACTGAACTCTATTGAATCATATGAACTTAGTTTTTCAAATATTATTTGGTTTTCTCATATTCGTATTGTATCCGGATGTATGTCCACATGTATCTTCACAATCGTATTCGATCTTAGTGTATACGAATATGATTTTTTTTTCTTACCTGTACGTATCCGTATATGCAAAGGTATCCGTACTAGTAATTAGTTAGTGAATACAAACGTGGTAAATATCAGATATCCGAGTGGTATCTGATTTGTTTGCACCCGCAGTGCTCAGTATCATAACTTCCGCATCGGATTAGGCCCAACCCTCCTAAGCCTGTCTAAGAAGGCTGGACTCTATTCCATCTCTCTTAAAATAAGGTCAGATTTTAAGCCCAATTTGATATTTTAGGTGGGCCGGTCTCTAATACTAGGTCTACCATGGATTTAGCACAGGTGTCCTCTTCATTTTCTAAATAATATAACGTCCGAAAACAATCTTCATCTTCCTAAAATCTCTTCGCATACTTGAAATTCAATAAAAACTTCAGAATGTTACTATTCATGTGATGCAAAAATTAGTATCGTTAGAGTTCATTAAGAATTAATCACGAAAAACTTTTTTAAATGATTATGATTAAAAAATAATAAAAAACCATCTTCGTAAATTATCAATTATAGCTAGAATTGATACGCTTAGGCTTCGTTTGGCAACCTGATACGAACCATGCCAGCCTTTGTTTATTTTTTAACCATGCTAAGGTTGATCTCTGGTAGGGGTAGGAAAATTCCCGGCTTGGTTATAAGGGTTTAAAAAAAAAGCAAAGGAATATTGGACCTATTTTGATTTAACTTTTCTCAAACACCAAATTTCCTTAAAATTGGGTCAGTTTTGAGCATGATCAGTTTTAGTGGGTTACCAAATACGCCTTTAGGTGAGTTTAGCAAAGGGTTAATAGAGGGGTTAAAGGAATTTAACCCTTCACTAATCCGCCAAACACTAATTTATAAATAAAAGATTTGTTAACACCTGATAATTAAGAGGTTAAGGGCACCTAACCCTTCCTTTTGAAGAGTTTACAATTCCTCCATGGGAGGCAGTTTAACAATAAACCGTCCTCCGTTGTAAGGATACTGTAGCTAATTTTATGTTTCCATATTTTAATACGTACATATTAGCTAGCTTGGTGGTTGCTTATTATTTTACTGCTTTACTTCTCCGACGTTGCTGTACTAAGGTCATGTGAGATAATAGTGTAATATTTGACGTTCAATATTCACTAAGTTAGTGACAACCAATATTTTATTAGTGTTTAGTGAGTTAATGCTAGTTCCTTTGAAATTTTAATTTAATATAAGTTTAATAATTTAATAATATTTCCAGAACGTAGTTGTGAAATACAAGAACCGGTTATTGTTAAGTTTGTGGATATCTCAATATTTTAATATATCAATTTTGACCTGGTGGTTATTGCAGCTATTCAGCCTATTCTTATGTTTTGATTATTGGTAATTGGCACGTATTAATTTATTGTTTCATTTTAACTTGAAGATGTATATAGCTTCTACGATTAATATTGTAAGTTCACATCATTCTTATTGAAAAATTCAAAGATGACACTAAGATTTTACCTAAAGTCAAAGAGTTCGAAAAGCTTGTTATGAAGCTGAAGGATGAAAAGATTAATCTTTGTCAAACCTTCATTTCTGGAGTAATTGTCAACAAGCTTTATCCATCTTGGATGTAATTTTTCACGAACATTCGAAAAAGGAAAAGACAGGTGACTCTGTCTGATTTGAAGAGGTTCATTCGGATCGCGGACGAGATTCAGACTCGTACGAAGAATGAGCTCCTAGCTAAGCAGAAAACGTCTGCTAATATGGTGGCTGCTAACTCTGAGAATAATACTAATTCTTCTTTCAAGAAGAAGAAGAAACCATTTAACAAAAAGAAGAACCATAATCCGAAGAACTTGAATGTTCAGAAGAAAGATTTCAAGAAGAGACGCAAATGATTCAACTATGGGAAGCAATGACATTTTGTCAAGGATTGCAAAGCACCAAAGAAGGAAACAACACACAATGTTAATCAACTTGACAATTGTGTAGCTATGATTTTTCAAGTGACAACTCCCAACAACTAGTTGGTGGTTAGATACAGGTGCTACCTACTATGTTTGCTCCAACAGAGATCTGTTCTCTTCCTATATTGCTGCCAAAGAGAACGTATCAATGGTTGATCATTCTGTGGTTCATGTTCTTGGAATTAGGACTGTGATGCTGACTCTCTCTCTTCAGAGAAGACTCTCACATTAAAAGATGTGAAATATGTTCCCTCAATTGCCAAAAACTTAGTTTTTGAAAGCCTGCTGTGTGATGCAGGTATGAGGCTGGATTTCCAATGAGGAAAGATTGTGTTATCATTTAAGAAAATATATTTTGGTAATGCATATCGTACTAATGGTATGTATAAGATCAGTACTATTGTACCCAACTCAATTGTAAATGAAGTATCATCTTCTGCTTACTCCTCTGTATTATGGCACAATAGGGTAGGGCATGTAAATTATAGAAAGTTGTCTAGCATGGAGAAGTTAGGATTACTTCTGAAATATGGGGGTAACAAACCTAAGAAGTGTGAAGTCTGCGCACAAGCGAAGTTGACAAGGAAGCCCTTTCCAAGTGTTACAAGGAGCATCAACCTATTGGATCTGATCACTCAGATACTTGTGATTTTAAGAGCTTCGTCACTCGAGGCGGCATGAAGTACTTCATCACCTTCATTGATGATTATTCGCACTTCTGTCATGTCTACCTGCTAAAATCTAAAGATGAAGCCTTCAGCAAGTTTATCGAGTTTCGGACTCATATGGAGAAGCAACTTGGACTTCAGGTGAAAAGACTCAGGAGCGACAGAGGAGGAGAGTACTGATCTAAGTAGTCGGAAACATACTTTAATGAGCATGGTATCATTGCTGAAACTACGACATCGTATTCTCCGCAATCTAATAGGATCATAGAAAGGAAGAATCGCACATTGGCTGAGATGGTGAATTCTATGTTAATTACATCTGGTCTACCTACCTACTATCAGGGAGAGGCTTTGCTGATGGCAAACTGGATT